TAATTACAATCCTTTTGCGTTGCAAAGCTTTTAAAGTCCAATTTATTATCTATGCCTATAACGTTATATTGCCTTATCTACCTAATGAGAAAAACACATGTCATAAGATATAATCGAAAGAATAATCCAAATTTTTGCACCTGCTACTAAAAAGCCTATGTTAAATGAAGGTGCGGGCTCGCGGATTTACCAGTTATTTGTATACTGTATTAAAGGTTGCACACCGGTGTAGTAGAACATCAACGAAAAAACGAACTCGATAAAGGATCCGAGAATCAAAACGTACAGAAGCTGGAAATAATGTTGGAGGTACGTGTTCATTCCTCGTTCAGACTAGTCGTGGTTTCTTGGAAGGATGCGAGCTCTCGTGCTGAATTTCTTCAGTGAATGCACAAACAGAAACAATATCAACTGTTGCGTGACTTCCTTCAATCCCCGACACAAACTTTGGTATGTCACAGAATTCAATCCATTCGTCCATAATTTTAAAATAAGCCCAGACTTTTCCCGTATTCTGAACTATGAATAAATTTCCATTAATATTCAAAGGCCAGCATTTGTCTCCAGAGTATTTTTTTAGGCGTTTCACACTTCTCTATTTTGCCTTTTCCAGGTCATAAACTTTGACAGTAGAGAGGCCGGCAAAGAAATAAATGCAATTATCGTGCACAATACACGAAGTAATCCGTTCTCGTGCGCGCATGAATAAATCTAAGTTCCTGAAATTTGGGACATGAAGCTCGTGTGACCAAATTTTATATTGAATATTAAATGTTTTCATCTTCTGTTCTATGAAATCCTTACGATGATTGAAAATGCTACGAACGACAAAGATTGATTGCTCAGTAGCTGCCGCCATGAACATTTTCTTTTGTGTGCGCAATTCTTTAATATGATAGAAATTGGACTGTTTTCTGTTATTATCCTCAAATTTTGGTAGATTTTCATTCCATGTATTTTGCAGTGAATTATAGCACAAAGTATTTGTCTCCGAGATGACATATATACTGTCATCTACAGCTACAACATCCGCGGAACTATCAAGACTTTTGTTCATAGAGCATTTCTGAATCCATCTTTTATTTTTGTCCAAGAAAAACAATTGATTGCCATGGATAAGACATAATTTAGCATTAAAGCAGAATATTTTGGTTGACATGGAAATAGTTGCGTTGAGGGTGGGAATCGAAACATTAGCAATATCTTCCCAGGTTTTTGTTGAAAAATTCATAGTTTGAATTCTTCCATCAGTGTAGAGGACTGCTATAAAATGATGTTTCTTTAAACTAAAAGCATCGCTTTCAAGATAAGCGTCAAAAAGAAGTTGCTGGCATTGAAATGAATATCGCACCAAACTATCTTCACGAATAATCTTAATAAACTTTTTTGATGTTTGTTTCAAGCTGATATATCTCAGAAGTCCTGGCAAAAGTTTTTGTCGATCCGTTCCGTGTTCTACCCAAGCTTTTATCGCCAACCATTTCCATTTTTCTCCGGTTATATCATTCATTGCTGAATCGGAAAGAAAGGAAACAAGTTCAGATTGAGGAATCGACTTGAAGTGAGGTTTGTGAGAAGTTGAATAATATTGTTATTACGGAACTCATTTAAAGCTTTTTTGATCGAATTCGGAATAAATTTTAGGTTTTCTGTAATTTTCTTCAGTAAAAAATAGTTGTTGAAAAAAATATTTTGAGTGAAAACATGATCGTCCATAAAAACTCTTTCATACAAAATATTTTTGCATTCTCGAGAATCTCTTAAAATAGGTTCGTCCCAAAGTTGTTGGAGCAGTAAATTTGTTGAAAACTCGTCCCATTTTGATTTGTCTAGAAGCTCGAAAATGTGCTCCTGTCGATTGTCGACGTCAACCTTTATCCAGTGAATAACGCATTCCCAAACTGCAACATTCGCATCAGGATGATGCTTCTCAATGTAGTCAATGAAATGAGATTTTGGAAGTTGAAGCAATTTGGTCGGGTTTTCCACTTTGTAAGTTTTTTTAAAGAGTCTTTGAACGCGTTTTTGTAGTTCAGTGCGGCTATATTGAGCCGCAATGTTATAAATACGAATGCAGTTTTTTGAACTCAGAATATTCTTTAAGAAAGTCACGCTGTACTCAGTTATTTTATCCAGTTGCATAATTCCGGCTGCTTGTAGTACGTCTCTTTATTCCAATTTTTTCTCATTTTAGTCCTATTTCGAGTTCGGGGACTAGCCAAGTGACTCCCGTAGTATTTGTACCTAAAATTATGGCCTAACCCTAACCTGGTACACATTCTACGTTACGGTGTCCGCCATCTTGGTTCACATACTACGGGAGTACTATTTATTTAAATACTAAAAGTAAATAGAGAAGTGGAGAATGAACTCCAGGTGATCTCGCCCAAAAGATTGAGCTGCTGTCAAGAGTAAAGTAACTATTCCTGTATCTGTCTTACACATATCTATTTTTCCAATAGACGAAAACCACTTACTACAAACTTCCAACCTACAGCATTACAAATCGGCTTCAACTGATGCAAAGCGTATTAAAAATCGGGCTCGTGATGTGTAACAATAATAAACGCTACAAACAGTATAAACCAAACACAAAAGACTAGTCGCGGTGTCAACAACATATCATCATCATCATCTGCTTTCATTCGCTACGTCTGATTACAAAGGTTTTTTTGTCGAATACCCATAGAGCCCGAACAATGGCATGGAAATAAACCAAAAGGACATATCATGGGCGTTAACATAACTCAAGAACAAACAATTGCGTTAGCACAATTGTTAAACAAACAATATAAGGTCAAAGCAGAAAGCGTTGCATGTTTCATTGAGAACTCATTTACACAATAAAAGTTCTATATGTTTCAGATCAGTGGTTCCCAACCGTCGGTCCGTGGACTGGTGCCGGTCCGCGAGGCTTTTTGCCGGTCCGCGGAAAATTTCATTTTGTTGTTTTTCTACCGTCTCAATCGCTTTACCGAAGCCGAAAAGACGAAGTTACGTTGGTTTATTACGCAATTTCTCTTCCGCCATCATATTGCTGTTTGATAAGTGCGCGATGGCCCGGCGACGTATTGGCGCTGAGTAATCATACTTTTCGGTTCATCGCGAAAGCGCTCCGCCAAATCTCGCAAGATTCAGAAGCCTGGAAATCAGCATGCGTGCTTTTTCCGTTCTGCATGCTTTTCTTGATTAATAGGTCGAAGTTACGTTGGTTTATTACGCAATTTCTCTTTCCCGTTATATTGGTGTTTGATAAGCGCGGTGCGGCCCGGCGACGTCTTGGCAATGAGTAATCACACTTTTTCGGTTCCGATTCATCGCGAAAGCGCTCCGCTCTGCTGCATGCTTTTCTTGATTAATCCAAATCAATCCAAATAAAAGGTTATGAATAATTCTTTGTTTAAACCAGAATGTATCAAGATAGACAGTATATTATTCCAGAGCATCACCATGAGCATTTAATAAAGATTGGATACCGAAGTATTTTTTGTAATCATCCGGCCCGCCGAGTACTTCATTTTTCCACATCTGGCCCGCCGACTAGAGAAGTTGCCCACCCCTGAACTACGGCCCCTCCTTCGGCTGCATTCAATGTCGGGTATGGGATCAGTTAGTCAGTTATTTTTTCAGATGCACGGACTCGATGGCGGAGGAAGCCGTAACCCATTCAGCGGCTTTGTGAACCTACGGAGGCGAGGAGTCCAGCAATCCTTTGCACATAATGTTAACCGTGCATGGTAATCAGAGGTCCGATGGCGAGCGTATTCCTAACGCTTAGCTCAATGCGCTCGACGATTTTTTATTCCTTCAGCACCAAGATAAATTGATAACAACAAGTGGACGTGAGTGGTGGACACAAGCAAAAAATCACTGGCCTAGACTAGACATCGAATTACTGCGGATCGACTTGATACCGTTTCCGTACTGAATAAATTAGACTCACCTGTCAAGTGGTTAGGCACTCCGACGCACATAGAATTTTGGCATAGCTACGAGGTCCTTGTAATATATTTCCAGTTACAAGAGATAACTAGCTGCAACTTAACTACGATATCACAGACGGAATCTTTACTGGCACGTATCGGTTAATGAGCGTTACCAGATTTCTACATCGAAGGAATTTCGGTCCAATCTAATTTTTGGGATATCGGACCTTTCATAACAGGGCTTCTCAAATTATGGGATGTGACCCAAATATGGGTCAAAAATAGATTGCGTTGAGGTTATTAAAGCAGTCAAAAACAATTTTTCAATTCCATTAAAAATTAAAACTGAATTATTGAAGCGTTCGTATTTCAGCCGCTTTGATCTGAAGAAAAGCTGAACTATTGCATCATAAGGGATATAACTGCAAAGTTGTTGACGGCGCTCATATGTGATTATGAATCTCTCCGAAACTGAAGCTAGCTAAAGGCCTTCTCGTCTGAAATTTTGTACATCGGCCAGTGGGCAGCAAAAAGTTACCGATATCAGTGTCGCTAGAAATGGAAATTTAAACACCCGAAGCGCCAGATTATTGACGGTTATTAAAATCAAGTCTCGCGATGCCGATGTGCGCAACGCGCTCGGCAAAATAGAGCGTGCATTACATACCGATAAGAGTGCTTCATCGTGTGGCGAACAACGCCCTCTCGCTCTGTTACTGTACGTGACTAGTTCGCCAGCTATTTGTCTTCAGATGCATGGTCTTGAAGCTGGAAAAGCAGTAACCGACCAGAGGTTACGCGAACCAACCTACTTTGATGAGGAGTCAAGAAATCCTCCCGCACATACTCATTCCCCCACCAAATTACAAACCGCTAACCCACAACACAGGGTAATTAGAAGTGCCTTGGCAAACCATTCCTAATGCTTAGCACGATGTCCCATACCGAGCCAGGACCGGTAATTAGACGAACCAAAGCTGCAGTTGGACTTGTGCAAAAATTGATAACCCGACAAGGACGAGTATGAGAACCTTACCTTGCAACAGATTTCATAAAAATACACACACACTGTTATAAATGTTTTGTGAATGCTTAATTTATAAACTAAATGAAACCAAGGAATCGGCAGTGTGAAAAGGAAGAAAAGAAATACTAGTTTGCACAGAAACGTCGTTTCACTTTAGACAAGATAAATGAAAAGAATGAAAAAAACAGATGAATCAAACGCACTCCACAATATGAGCCCTGCATATCAAGGATTGGCTGTGTAAAGCCATGATAGGAGTAAGAGCAACTTGCGAAATAGGAGAATTGTAGGTAGGACATATTCAATCAAACATTTTAGACCAAAGAAATCAAAACAACGCTAAAATCAAACACCACTTTCATCGAGCAAATCATTTCACCAACTAACCGATTTCAAACAAATAAGAAATTTTCTGTAAATTCAGTGTTTTGACATTTTCGAGAATATCCCATTTTTTTCCTACAATATTCTCACTGCAAATTTGGCAATGACAATATGCTTGAGATGACTTGGATAACCGGTACAAGAATTCGTAAGATCCTTAAAACTTATCCTATTTTCCATAGTTTTTTAATTCTACAGATATTCGCATTCAGTAATTGCTCGTCTACAGCTTTGTACCATATTTTTTCAATTAAATACTTATTATTTCTCAAATTTGTTCGAGCGTATGACCTTAGCAATAACGAGGTGCTGTCCATGAAAATAGCAATTTGACCTGGCTAGTTTAGAGCGAAGACACCGTACGAAAACAACAATCACTTCACAACATTTGTTTGTTGTATAAAGTGTCGCTTATTTTTTGTCGTTTGGCTGCTGGTTGCTCCTCATTGTCCTCTGATTCTTCATCGTTGTGTTCTAGATTCGGATATTGCTGTCGATTGTTTCTTGGTCTCACTCTAACTGCTGGTCTCATTGATCTAGGTAGGAAAATAAAATAATTTGGAAAGCTTATACTATATAAGGCAGTGGTTCTCAAACTTTTTAAGTCTTTGTAAAATGTCAACGCATTCCACCTCAAAAATAACTAGCTAACAAAAAGGTAAAAATAACTGATAGTAAGACGAAAGTATGTTGTATTGAAAAAACATGCTGGAAATACATGGATAAAATCACAATATCTAAACAATAAAGGAATGTGAACATCCAAAATAAAGCGGCCAAGATGGAATCTAACAAATATTTTTATTTTTAATTAGCTTCAAACATTGTCTACACCACCCTTGTTGGGCGCACCCCACCATTTGAGAACCACTGAGATAGAGGGTAAACCAGTGCCTTTGCACATTTACCAATCCAGATAGAGTATACAAATAGTTGGCCATTTATTCAATGGCTTGGCCCTGGTAGGTAAATTTTTTAAACAACGCTGGCATCACTGTTTACGTATCTTGTCGGTTTCAAATGTCCATCATTTCACCCAGAGTGTAATAAATTGGGTAAGCAGTGACGAACCAGAAAGATAGATATCAGTGGACGCTTGTTTTGAACAAAAGGTAAATGTGAGTAAATGCTGTATAAATAGAAAAACAATACCTAAGATATCCGTATCTTTCAAACGGTACAAGAGTAGACAGAACAGTAGGCCACGCAAACATCGATACAAATCTTGATCGAAGAATTCTGTGTTCTGGCATCAACTGGATAAAAAAATTAGGGAAAGGAGAATGAATAGAATAAACCTGAATAAAACAATATGTCTCCATGGCAACTAGTGTATCAAGTCAATAGGCTTATTATGGATTTCAATTCTCAAATATGTTTCATTGTTTCCTGTAATATAGTCACCTTTGACCCATGCCTATTGAAGCCTGAAGGTGATTTAAAGTTTTTTTTTGTGTTGCAGTGAAAAATTGAAAATTATTTAGTCAAATTTATCATATTATATCAAATGCTATATTTGCTGACAAGTAGCAAGATTTAGAAAATTCAATTTTTTTTACTATTAGCTTCAGTTGTTTTAAGTATAGTCGTATGTCAGGCGTTCAAATCCTTACCTGAATATTTTTCATTAAATCTTCGGGCTTATATTTTTTCCCGTCATAAATTGCTCCATTAGTCAAAGCAAGTGGTCCGTTTGGATCAAGATCCTCTGTAGAATATAAAATTTGCATTTGTATTTAACAGAACTGACACAGGAGGTGATGAGGATTAGATTTTCATATCAAGCATGGAAGTGGCGGATTTAATCATATGGTGACCCATGGTTTCAGATGCACAGACTGAACAATTTGTACAAAGTTACAACCAGGGTATTTTTGAATATATAATATGATTTCAGAATCGGATCGGATATTTCTTTCGACGATATGTAGTTGTATTGACTGTTTCATTGTGATGGGTACATGTCAGAATCAAATTTTAAAAATTTGATATTAATAAAACAAACGAGAATATCAGTGAGAGACCGAAGATTTATCAATCGAAAGTTAGGGGATCCCCCAAAACAACGCTCTTACTCCATAGTGACACCTTGTGTCTCATCACTAATTAATTAATAACTCGCTAATTAAACGACATAATTCATCCAAAATCAATAGGCTTCTGGTCCGACATATGTTGAATGCACGTGCAAAATCTGGAGCAGATTTAATCTCGCTTTCGTGAGATTTCGTGCCCAGCACAATTTACAACACAAGCACATGACATTGGAGACTGAAAGTTTCGAGTACATCTCCAAGATGCAGAATTTTAAAACAGTAGTGGCTGTGACTCCAATAACAGCGAATAATATAAAAACTCAAACTACACAGCTCCACAAATAACAAAAAAGCAGGGGCTATCTCCTTTCAGCCATTCTCAAACTTTTATGATCCACGGTCTTCTCCAAAGATTTTCAACACTCCCGACAGACCCCCTGGCCCCCCCCTGGACAAAAAACCTAGTTTTTTTTTTAACAGGTTCCTATTAGTTAATTTATTCGCCACATCAAATAATAAAACACTTTACCACTTAATAACACAACTTTTACCTTTAGTACCATGACCATTCTGTTTTCCTTTGCTTTTATCGTTTTTCTCAATGAGCATTAGTTTGGCAGTTTTAACTCGTCTTTCCCGATCATTGACTAATTTACGATATGCGAACAAAGTTGCACGGTTCGGCGCACACAGAGGTAGAAAATGATTTCTCGTGAAGGTTGACGAAGCAGCATTCGGTGCTGGCTTATCATCGACAGTGGTAGAATTGCTGGTATCTGTTGCGGTGTTGTTATTATTCGCTTCTGCTTCATCCGCTTTAGGTGGCGTTTTGCTATTCAGAGATTTTCTTTTACCTTAAAATGAAGAAAGATTCGTCAATATTGACGCATCGCGCTAGGTGTTATGAAGATGCTCGCCACTGCACCTCTGATTACTGTATTTGTGAAGTTATCGAAACGGCCATGTTCTATGTTTGTCATGACTTATGTGTATATAATAAAATAAAAATGGACATTATTACTCAAATATATGGCAAATCTTGGCAGAAACTAAACTGAGAATCATCCTAATTAAAGTACAAATTTACTTTTCATCAAAAATTTATTTTTCCCATGAATCGATATTGTTCTTTCTTATAGCTTGCTACTTGTGTAGACTTATATTAAAAGTTAGTCAAGTCAAGTCTATTTTTTCTAACCAGTAAGAAGTCAAAAATCATGCAAAAATGAGGAAAAAATATATTTACATTACTGGGGAATGGAAGTCGCGGATAACCAAAACTGGTTATCAAGCAGCGACACCGACGCTTCCAACATCTGATTCAACAGATTGGGAAACGAGTTTCAAAATTACAGATATTATGGTAAATACCATATGAATTTTGTGAATTAGCTAACTAACATCGATTAATACTAAAAAAAACTGTGTAATAAAACTGTTTCAACTTACTTCTTCTAGTAGGGCTGACTGGTGTTCCCTGGTCTTTGATTGCTTGCAATGTTTTCTCTGCGTTGATATTCATTGCTGTAAAATAAGTAATGTGTTTTGGAATTTTGAAAGTTTTTTTTATAATAAGTTATTGTAATATATAAAGCCAAGTCATTCACTGTGACCCTTGTCAACACTCTGTGTTAATAGTGATGGGGAAGCTCATGTTGGGTAAGAGTTTTCAACACACATTTTTTTCCATCAAGCATTAAATCCTGTTCCAAAAGTTTATATTTAAAAGGGCTAAATTACATGCATTAATTTGCTATTTTCACTGCGTTAAATATTTTGCCAGGTGCATACATTACTGTAAAGCTAAGTGATAGTCTTACAGTAAGACAGCCTTTTCATTGTGAAATTTTTTTATTTCGTTGTGTAGCTGGGAAAATGGCCCCTGCCTTATCAGGCTAATTGTCTGAGCTATTTTCTAAAAGACCACAGAATAGAAAATAAATAAAATATTTCCATGCGTACCTTTCACATAATGTATAAACATGACTTTGGCATTGATTTTCTTTAAAGTAGAGAGAACTTTTTGTCGAATGGCATTAATATTTGTTCCATTTATTTCTGCTTCATATTTGAACGGCTTACAATGTTTGTCGATTGTTTTTAAAACTTTCTGGTTGATGATCCTGAGAAATTGAGATATTATTAGTGATTCATCTCTCTACATCAGTGTTCCCAAGTTTGGGGATAATTACCCCCATAGGGGGAAATTTGGCAATTTTAGGGGTAATTCAAATGTTCGCTGTTAAAACAGTTTGATTGGGTTTTTACGAGACCAACTACTTAAAACTTCTTCAATGCTTCTTCGCAGGTTGAACCATATAATGCAAGGATGTTGTAGCAAGAGTAAGGTAACTATCCTAAATGATTCAAGAGTCTTGCTGCACACTAACACAAATGTATTTCTGTAACATTTCTTTCGACTAAGGTCAGACTTCCTCAAACATAACATACATTATTCAACTGAATTATGCATATCTAAAACGTTAACAAAACGTTACAGAAATATATTTGTGTGAGTGTGCAAATATAAAATACACATATGAAAATATTTAAATATAAAGACTCTGAATTGGTAGTTTGAAGTCCAATGCAGACAGCCACAAACAAAAGCTCAAAAACAAAGAAACTACTTACTTATCCGTCCTGACCCAAACTGATTTGGAAACCACTCGTCGTTTTATTTTAGCGCTGAGTCTGTGGTATAGGTTCACCATATCTTCCGGCTTTTTGACGTTTTCTAATTTTTCTTGTAAATCTGCTTCCAGAGGTTGAAATAAACTAACTTTGTTACCAATGTCTATTTTCTGAAAACAAAATATTTTGAAATTTTATTATTATCAGAAGAAAAAACTTCCGCCGCAATTCTATGAAAAAAGAAATTGCTGCCTTTAAATAAAACTCAATTTTGGGATCATTATTGTTTCCTTAATGCCTTTTAGGAATGGTTATATGAAAAAGAAAAAACGAACCTCCTGGAGTGTGCGCACCAAGATGGCGCACAACCTGAACTCAGATTCTGTACCAGGTTAGGATTCAGGTTATGCGAAATCTTGATGCGCATACCCCAGGAGTACCGAAAAAACAATGTGCCAATAAATCAAGGGCTTCAACCAGAAGGGGCGAAACTTGAGAAATTTGCTGAGAAAATGGGTGAAAACCTTTTTTTGATTTCCAAGCTCTCAAGCTTTTATTAAAATACTTTGGTGAATACTTTGAACTATGATCAAATACCACCCATTTGGAATGTATTCAAATTAACTAATTGTGAGGAAGCTTGCTGTTAGGGAGTTTATTACTTTGCACCAGTAAACAAATCATTCCTGAGAACTTTTAATCGCATTACAGGATATCCCCACTGCCATACAAAATATATCCTACTCTCCGCAAAAATATACCTTCGACTTCGTAGAGACAGTAGGTAGTTGGCTCTCATCAGCAAGCATGAGACTCATATCTTCATCTATTGGTTCAGTAGGTTCTATTGGCATTTTGGCAGCTAAAACAAAATATGTAAGATTTGCATGTAGATAGAGTGTCCATAAAGTCTTAGTAAAATTTTACAATTGCAAAGGGAATTCATCGATATCATATATTGTTTTGGCCCTCACAGATGTATTATTTTAGGTAAAAATGTAAAAATACTTAAACAAGTACTGATTAAAAACAACAAACCTGGTTAGTGGTTAAGATATATAGAGAATTAATATCATTACAAATTTGAAATCGTAAAGGGACTTTACGGACTGGGGGAAAGTAAAGTTGATAAGACTGTAGGGATGCGACGAATCCAAAAAGGTTCTGCTCGGCCGAATCCCGAGTATTTGTGCTGGACTCGTGTCCGAGTCCCGAGTCCAATACTTTTACATAGCTACGAAACAAATACCTAAAGTAATGCTGTTGTTCTCGTATATTGGCCGTAAATTAAACATTCTGTATGAAAAGACTATGTAATTTAAATACGTTGCACATAAACACTATTATGTTCGAGACAATCATTCTCTGAGTTAAATTAGAATAAATAGGTCATATTCCCCGTCGAAGGAATACTTTGACTTTCGCTGACATTATTTTGTTCTTACGGCGTCGTGAATTTGTAGTTTTGGCGCCTAGTTTTAATTTCACCGTAGAGAAAATAGACTGGACAGTCTCGTGGTAAAACAGAACGAAAAAGTTGAATTTCTCGTCGAATCCGCCACCAGTCTGCGCTTGACGTATGATATCCCGGACTCGGGTAAAATCATCAAAGACTCGGGCCGAATCCGAGTATCAAATTACGAGAGATTCGGCCACGAATCCGAGCACGAGTCCGAATCTTGTCGCATCCCTATAAGACTGCTCCGGATTCCAGGTGAAGTTCGGAACGGGAGAAGATGAATGACTATGATTGGAAGCAGTATATATATGTCTATATATATGTATTGCCAGTATTGGTCACCAATGCTATTTGAATAGGCTTCTCTGTAGAAAGCTAATAGGCTGACATCTAGACAGCAAGTTAAGAATAGGAATGATTTTATGGTCCCAATTGCAATTTGAGTGGCCTCTCACATATAGAGCCATTGGGCTGCCATAAAGACAGAAGTCGGTATACTGATGGATACCTACACTGTAGAGAGTTATTGCCCATCATACAGAGAGAAGGCTAGAAATATGAATACATTGCATATGAATGCATTTCTACATAGAAGGCAAGGCAATACACATGTTTTTTAATATCCCTTATTGAGAGAGGTAAGTTGATACATAATTTACAACAAAAATCAATATGTTACATTTTTACCATATTGAAAATATACTCCCTGCCTATAGGCTTCTGTCCCTTTACACAACTTGATGTAAAGTAGGCAATCAAAATTAGTTACCTCCATATTGGTACACATACTTATGGAGCACCAGTCGAACGCCAAATGCTAACATCATCTTTGGCATATGGACACCTAGCACTCCAGATAAATAAAATACTCAAGTATATTGGTACTCCTGTAGTATGTGAACCAAGATGGCGGACACCTGAACGTAGTATGTGTACCAGGTTAAGGTTAAGCCATAATTTCAGATAAAAATACTACATGAGTCACTTGGCTAGTCCCTGAACTCGCAATAGAACTAAAATAAGGAAAACTGGAATAAAATTATGACCTAATCCTAACCTGGTACAAATACTACATTTCAGTGTACGCCATCTTGGTTCACATACTACGGGGGGAGTACCAGTATGTTTAATCAACTTGAATAATAAATTTGAATAAATTCATACCTTCAGCTTTACTTTTCCTGATCTGCATTTCGATAGTGTCGACTAATTTCTGGCGGACGGTCGCAAGCCCTTCTGCCACAGTTTTTGGTCCAGCTTTCTTGTATTTCATCGTGGAACCAGATTTTAAACACTTTTTAATGTATTTCCAACGATTGAAAACCTGATTGTCCGTCCTTCGATCAAGAGCATGAGCAACCATAGACCATTGCCCTTCGCCATGTTTTTTAATCTGAAAAATTGAAATGGTATAGTTGTCAGGGACCAGGGTTGTGCAGTTGCAGTTTGCACTTTTTTTTTATATCGGAACTGAAGAAAATTGACAAAGTTTTGAGCCTTAACTTAAAATAGAAAGAGTTCTGATAGAAGAGTTGAGTTGTGTAGTCAAACCCCAGAGTGGCTGTCAAAATTTTAAATTTTCCAAAGTCAGAAATCAAATTTTATAGTCATAGAAATTTAAGAATTGCAATTTAAACTGTCGGCGTCGGGCAGTGTGCAGCGGCGTATCCAGGGTGTGGCAGCCATGGCTCGTGCCATGGGCGCTGTTTGAACAGGGGCGCAAAGCCTGCAAAAAGTATTAATCATAAAAACGTTTCAATAAAATAATTTCAAATTGGGAATAATTGAAACTCGTATTTTTAGACACATAATAATATACAAGTACTTCAATTCAATAAGAGTCATTATAAATTCCCTAACAACTATCAAGGGGGGCGCATTTTTAAACTTTGCTATGGGCGCCATTCTACGTAGAAACGCCACTGGCAGTGTGGCATGTTTTCTATTAATATTGGAGTTTGAATCGGTGTAATTAATTTGGATGGTGATGCCAATCCAGAAAGATTCCAGTCCATCCAGTCATTGATACCAATGGTTGCAGGTATAGAGTCTTGTCTGAATTAAAACTGTAAATCAGTGGTTCCACAACGTACTCACTGGACAATTATGGCCCATGCAGTGATTGAATATGGCCCGCCGAACATAACTGAAATAGTTTAATAATTTTTTTTAACTTTTGTGTTCTAGATACTGCCGATTGTTATGTCATTATCACAGTTTAAGTGTGTACTTTCGTAACAATTCAGTTTGGTATCTTAATTACTCATCGATATTAAGATTGGTAAGTATGTTGATAGGTATTTGTCTGTTAGATGAACGCGATATCTCAAGAAGGCGAGGTTGAATCTGCTCCAAATTTTGCATGTGCATTCATCATATCTCGGTCCAGAAGCCTATTGATTTTGGATGAATTATGTCGTATAATTAGCAAGTTATTAATTAATTAGTAATGGGACACGTGGTGTCACTATAGAGTCATGATTGGAAACCGCAGTTTCGATCGATAAGTCTTCGGTCTCCGACCGATATTCTAGTTATACGTATCGGTCCCTCACGAACACTCTACTCTTCTGGCCCGCAAATATCCTTCAGCTTCAATTTTAAGCCCGCAGTCAAAAAACTTCGGGAACCACTGTTGTAAATAATATGAATAAATCTCTCACCATATCTTGAATAATTTTGTCTTCTTCAGCAGTCCAAGGTCCTCTATTGATATTTTTCAGTACATTATCGTATCTCTCCCTGCATTGGGAATCGTTACGTCCCGGTACAGTGCCAGAGTCACGAATTATTGACCACTTGGTACCAAACTTCGCTATCGCCTGAAAATGAAAAAGATTTATTGCCTGGATAGAAAGAAGTAGAAGGCTAACTACAGATAGTTGGGATAGGATTTACACATTCATGCTGGGGGAGCTGTTACGTAAACCATCCAGCCGACCAACCGCCCAGCAATCTTCTCGCACATAATCATTCCTCACGGTATTCCAACTTGCGAAACCACACAGAGTAATCAGAGGCGCCGTGGCAAGTGTAATACTAACAATTAGCACGTTGCCACACCGCCGAGCAGCAGAAAGTTTGAGAATTCGTCAGAAGTTTGAAAATTCGTTTTGACTCTTGCGAAAGCATGCCACATTCCGACTTCACCATGCTGGATACAAGAGTTTGTGTAAACTAACCTTCAACAATAAAATATCTTCATCCGGCGTCCATTTTGTTCTGATATAAGCAGGATCCAAAACTTTAGTCCACCGATGGCAAACCTGACTATTGGTTCTTCCACCCAGTTTCAAGGCAAGCTAGAAAAATATGAAAAAAAGATGTTATATAAGGATGTTCAAATTAAGTCCAGAGCCTTTAACTGAAAAATAACTAGCCAACAATAAGCTACAAATAACAGATAGCAAGACGAAAGTATGTTTTATTAAAAAAACACGTTTTGAAAATATGCGGATGGGATCGCAATCTCTAAATAATGAAGAAATGTAAATATCCAAAATAAGACAGGCAGTATAAAAGCTAATAAATATTTTCATTTTTAATTAGCTTCATTCCCCCTCAAAAATTGCTTATGCCCCCCCCCCACCCCTTGAGGGGTGCGCCCCACCGTTTATTCGAGAAAATCAAGCACAGCCCGTGCAACAATTTAATATAACCCGGCAAACTTGGTTGAAATAGCTTGATATTTTATGTTTTCACTTTTTCTGCGTTCTAGATACTGCCAGTTGCTACGTCATTATCACAGTTTAAACATGTGTATGTTCATAACAATTCAAATATTCCTATAGCTTAATTAATGTACCGGTATCAGCCCCTTGCAGGCATTCCCCTCTCTCAGCCCGCGAATATCATTACACCTATAATTGCGGGAACTACTGCTTCATACTCACAGCACTATAGGGAATCACATTTCCACATCGGTACTTTTGAACCAGTTTTGTTAGTTTTTCGTCGTCTTCAGGTGTCCATGGCTTCGATTTATGATCAATATTGTTTCTTTGATACCTGGACAATACAGGAACAAAATTATTTTTTTTACAAAAATTACTTTGGTTTCAATAAAAATATAATTGAACTGTTTGTCTATCGATAAATAAATATAGGTCCTCCTGGAGTATGCACACCAAGATGTCACACAACCTGACTCCTAACCTGGTACACAACCTCAGTTCAGGTTGTGCGCCATCTTGGTGCGCATACTTCAGGAGGTCCGAAAAATATTTGTGTTTGTGTGCAGCACTAACTAGAGGTAAGATCGGGCCCAAAAATTCCAGCCAGATTTGAGCTCGTGGGTATTGAACCCGAACCGACCCGAGCCCGGCTAATTAACTGGATTTGCAGACACTTTTCTCACTCACTCATTTTTGGGCATGGTCGTAAACTTTACCTCGTTTTCACGTTTTTGAACTCTATTCATTAGTTTTCAGTTGTGTTTCGGAAATTTAAATATAAATCAGATAATTCGTACCTCCTGAAGTATGCGCACCAAGATGGCAGGTTGTGTACCAGTACCAGGTACCTCTACACCAGGTGTAGAGTTCAATATTATGCGACATCTTGGTGCGCATACTTCAGGAACACCGATCATTCAAATATCACTTTGTCTTCCTAGGAGTTTTAATTGAATTGAAGTAATAAAAAATTAGTGTAGAAATAGCTGTGATAGACTAGGCTAAAATTCTTTACCGATACTCTTTAAAACAGATTGTTGTATGCGATAAATTATAATGATGGTTTGAAACAAATACCCCATTTTATTCAGAACCACTCTTAAAATAAGCCCCGAAAACTTTGCAAGGGTAAAGTATGTGAAGAATATTTTCGGGGGTCAAAGGTCCATTACATCTTTTTCTCTATTTTATTCAAATTATTTCTTTTATAACATATTAACAAGTACTCCTTAGTTTAGTATCCCCATAAGTTTAAGTATATATTTTTATATAAACATACGTTTATTTAAAAAAAAGTCAGCGATAGAGAAGCCCGACCCGAACGTAATGATTGACATTTTAGGCCAGACCCGGAATTTCGGGCCGGATCGGGCTCCAGATCTTAGCTCTAGCACTAACTCTTGAATGACAATTATCTTTCCTCGAGCTTTGCTACAGCATCCTTGCATTATATGCATACGGATCGGATCCACTTGCTCAAAAGCATCGAAGGGCAAGTAGCAAATATCAGAAATTTATTTGTGTCATTCGAGGATTTCTAGGCACAGACTCCGGTGCTCCAAAAGTGTACCAATATGGTGGTAACTAATTTTGTTCGCTTACTTTACATCAAGTTGTGTGAAGGGTCTAAAACCTATGGGCAGGGGGTATGTTCACTTGGTTAACATAGACAAAATCCCCAACTCATAATAGAACTAAAATAAGAAAAATCAGAATAATATTATGGCCCAACCCTTACCTGGGAACACACACTACGGGAGTACCTGAACTTCGTCATATACAAGTCGGTAATTTAAAACAACAAAAAAAAAGAATCTTCAACTACCATAAATAGTAGATAAAATCATCCAGTATGATAAAATAATTGAGCATGACTAGGCCGGAATCTTTTCGGTTATTTTTGAAGCCGCCAAGGTGGCTCATTGGGATGATTTTATAATAGCCCTTTTGCTGTTTGTTTATTTTGTCAGGAACACTCAGGTTCAGTCGTTGACCAAAACATTTAGGTCAAAAATGCTTCTACTTTATTGATAATTTACAGCCCAAGTATAATTTATCTGTGAAATTTACATTTATTTCTTGCTTGTATTAAATACAAAGCAGCAAATACATCATAGTCATTAAATGAAGTACCGTATTTTTTCGAAATTACGCCTATATCGCATATAGGTCGACTCCCTAAAACGGCGATTTTATGAAAAAATCGCACATAAGCCGGTCCTACGAATCGTTTCACACCGGACGCCTCAAGAAAAACGTAGGAGAGGACAAAATTACTGTAACGTAAACATTTCTCACGTTTATCGTTACTGCATGTTAGCGAGGGCCGTAGGTGGATTACCGTATTACCCGTAACTCTTACTTGTTAATTTATGTTAATAAAGTCTATATTGCTTTTCATGCGTCCTGATTTGTATTAATGGAAGGGATTGTTGTCGGGAGTTTAAGAAAGTCCCTGAGTCAGCACAAAACAATTTCCTTTGATCGTCCACAATGCGGTTAATTTTGATAAGAGTCCTTATCACCGCCCCTTAACGGATAACATATCGTAAAGGTGATTAAAAGTCGTGCTCCGTTAATTGCCTCTACGGCGATATCGCACCAAATAATAACGTTTTCACCACGAAACAACTGGCCGTAAATCGACACTGTTGCTGTTATGTAAAAGAAACACAAGCGAAAACAAACTAATTACAGACTGTACAAGTGTCAATTGTTAAACAACCAATCACAGACTGTACAAGCCATCAGCTGTATGATAAGACAATCCACCTTACAAACGCTTGTGTGTGTGCGTGCACGCTTTTTATCGTGAGAACTTAGTATGGTTTGAAGCTTTTGGAATTACCGGCAAGTCAGTTGCGTGATCAAATTCTGATGCGCAAATGAGCCGATTCTTTGGTGCAATCTGAGTTATGCGCGAATGAGATGGTCCCTCAGTTTGGCAACTTTTTTTTGAGTTTTAAACTCGGCCTATTCGCGACCATATACGGTAATTTTAGTGTAGTCAGGAACATTAATCAGTAAATGACTATGTGTTTTCGTTTTTAGAAATTTATTGTGGGGACTTAGAAATAATAGTTAACCTCTTTACAGGTTCCGTAACACCGAAGTTTTAGAACCCCTGCTCTAGGTCACTGCGTCAATAAAATATTAAACACAAACCTTTGAATACATTGCAATGCTGTCCTTCCTGTTCCTAGCTCATTTGCGACACCTATCCAATTAGTTTCTTTATATTTTTTAACCAATTTCTTCAATTTTTCGTCTTCAGGTCCTTTCCACGAATCATGGTTGATATGTGGATGTAATTGGTTCTTCCAGTAAAGGGCAACATCGATTGCTCCGCGTTCTCCCCCCACATCAACATTAGCTATTGTATCCCAGTCATGTTCTTGTGACCGTTCTCCGTATAAAACAAACGGTTTAGTGTCTTTTGCGTCCGATATTTTTTGTTTAACTTCTTTAATTTTTCTTTTCGTATTTTCAAAATCTTCCGACTTGGCGTATTTTTCTTCTAAGTATTCGAGTTGAGATAGTAACGGTTCGGTTATCTTCCGAAGCGCAACTCTTTGTACTCCAGTCTTCAGGCCTGAGAATATAAAAATCTTATTAAAACTTAGCTATAGATTTGGTTTCTGCTGAGCAACACTTTTTGTGCATAATTAAGTACTCCTGAAGTATGTGAACCAAGATGGCGGATACCGGAACGTAGTATGTGTATCAGGTTAGACCACAATTTCAGGTACAAATACTACGGGAGTCACTTGGCTGGTCCCCGAACTCGTAATAGAACTAAAATTGGAATAAAATTATGGTCTAACTTGGTACACATACTACGTTCCGGTGTCCGCCATCTTGGTTCACATACTTCGGAAGTACCCATAACCATATATTAGTTCAATAAGACGGGTTAATATTTTTTGTGTTAATATTTGGCAAAACACAAGCGCATGATGGTCTCAACTAGACAAACATACAGTCAGCCCCGAACACCCTAACATTGAATACAAAAATTATAAACTGCGACCTTGGTCAACAGTTTTCAAATAAACAACCACTGATACGTAAAGAGCTACTAAATTTTTAATTTCTGGATATGCATAAATACTTCCAAAGTAAGCTACCATTTATGGTGGTTGAGTGAAAAGAAAAAAATTCACAAGCCTGATAAAACTCAACAAATATAAAAAACAGAGCAAACCGTGAACATAGTTCAAGGCCCCAAATAAAGAACCACTGAAATGCTAAGAGCTACTATATTTATAATATTCATTTTTATTATTCACTATACAAATAACCTACTACTTATGGTGGCTTTGGATAGTATGAGAGAAAGTGCTTAGCGCATGAATAATTAATTGTCAAAATTCTGAATGATTTACAAACATCAGCCAGATGATTTTGAATATCGAAAATGTGGTTATACCCTATTTATTATGCATACCGTAATTATTTTACTTGGGCCTATTCAATTAGTTAGCTATTACTCCAGACCTCTGCAGCCATTAAAAAAGCAGAGGGATAAACAATCACACTGATATTTCATCGATACAGATGAAATTAACTGCCATCACACAGTCATAGTCGAGTTTATTTTTTCCATCCAGTAAAAAATAACATACAAAATTGACAAACAATAAAATTAAACACACATTTTTACTGGGGAAAGAAAGCCACAAGGAACCATTGGTCATCGAGCACACAAGTTTCAAGATTTAATTAAATTTCCAAGGTCGGAAATTGGATTTTTACACTCTCACTAAATATATTATATCTATAAAAATCAGTGGTTTTCAAGATACCCAAAAAACAGGAAAGTGTTATAGATGGAATTGTGTGATTTAGACTGAGATAAGTAAATCTACTCTACAGATTGTAAGCCCCCTCTAAAAGAATCCTAATACTTACGTTTCTCCTCGTCTTTAGTCCATTTTTTTGCTGGCATCGGATTCTCGACAAAATGAGGGCCGACCTCCTCACGAAGTCGGAGAACATCAGTGTGCAAGTTCATTGGCACTATTACAGAGTTACTATTTGTGCTCTAGAAATGGAACAGGGTTTTAATTTGTGCGGAAAAGTTGAATTAATTGGTATATGTAGCCAAGTAACCACTAAATTAGAATTTATGTGGAATACTCGTGTCCAAGTATTATTAGAAGTAATTTTTTAATTAAATTCACAGTAAAATATAAAAACTCACCAAATGTATCTTGAAATATTGCCCGGTCGAAAGTCCAAGGTCAGCCCTAGCTTGAGCTTTCCCAGAATCAAAGTAAGTATCGTTAAGTTTTGTTTCCAGATCAGCCTGCAATCGGAAGACAAAATCGTTTTTTCAAAGATTTCCAGTAGACTACCTTACTATTAAAATCGGGAGTGAGCAACAGGCGGTTCGCGGGCCACAATATGTCCCGCCTAGACATTTAGTGTGTCCCTGGTTAACACTTAGATTTCCCATCAAGAATAAAATCCGACAGTTTATGTTTGAAAAGACGCTCACAGGCATAAAAATACATAATCTTTCGCTATATTGCCTGTTGCATTCATTAATGTAAGGCTAGGCAATAGCTCGATTTATTCTCTTGCCTTTCCGGCTCCATTTTTCGTGTGGCCCAGCTGGATGTCTGAAGTTGGTTATATGGCCAACCAACAAAAATGTTGCGCACCTTTGGTTTAAATTTGAACTACTTTATATCACATGGCACTCAGAATTTTTGGAATATAATGTGCCACTAAAATTATTTATTATGCAATTCAAGAGTCCTGCTGCACTGCACTCATTGTTGTAAACTACTTGTCTGAGGAAGCCTGATTTTGGGTCAGACAGAACGTTACAAAAATACATTTGTGTTAGTGTAGCAGCACTCATAGTATTGCATAGCAAAGTATTTTATTCCTGCTACATCATCCTGATATACATGATATAAATTATACTCATACGGATCCGCTAGCGCAAAGGCCATGAGGAAGGATCCTCTACTGACAGTAATTCTATATAGAAATAATTTTTATCATCACCACGTGAAAATTGAAGATACATTTACAAAAAGGAGCAAAACATTGATATTCACAGATGAACACACAGGTGAAGACGAAAGTAACTGATAAAGCAAAAAACAGTTATGAGTCATATGACAGAACAAACCTGTTTGCATTTATTATGATTCAATAATTCATCAATCAAATGCAATTGTTGCAAAATAACTTCTTGATATGCAATGTTCAGCTTCAATAAATTTGTTGGATTTGCTTCTAGATCGGCAGACAGGTCAATGAGTTCTTCCTGAATTTTAAATGAATTATGTTAATTATTATGGTGCGGCACTTGGTGAATCGTGCTAAGCATTAGAAAAACGCTTGCCGGGCCTATTTCATGAGTGGGTTCACAAGTTCAAATTCAGCGGGTTGTAATTATGTGAGAGAAAGTTCCTGGACTTCTCATCGCTCTAGCGAGGTTTGGGACTTAAACTTTAGGTAACCGCTGATCAGTATGGCGTATCAGTATATCAAATCCATGCATCTGAAACACATAACTGGCTACCTAATCCCATATGGACTAGTAACTAACCGAGATGCCGTGGTTCGCCTACGATAAAGCTGCATTACTGGAGAAATCCTATCCTAAGATTCATTCTTGATCATCAGTTCGTTCAACATGCTAAGCTGGATTGTGTCAGTAACAATCATGGCTTTAGAGTCCGGTAAATCTATAGTACCTACAACTTCAGTCCGGGAATCATTTAAAAAATGAGACTCAATTTGACAAAAATTACTTATAGTGCTCCTGCTCTGAACTCCAGAGTCTGGCTCTAACTTTTGGCTGGCAAAAATATCGACTTGACTCCAAGACAAATAAAACTTTGCCTTCATCACAAACCAAGGGAATAGCCAGTAATTATCAAAGGGAGGATTCTGAAATTTTCTGATTGGCAAGACAGACCGTAACAACCAGCTGGTCCAGCCGGAGAAGGTGGGTCTTGAAAGTTATGAGGGTCCAAAAAGTATTTCCTAAGTATGACACTGAAAATGCTTTTTTATCTCTTAATTTCAAAAGAGGAAGAGAGGGTTTACGACTCACAACTACTCCGCCTCCCTGTCTTGAACCAAAGATTGAGCAAAATTTAGAATCTGACCGGACAAATTTCTTAGCAATTTTACCTGAGGTTCAGTCTGGTCATATTCAATTTCATCATCGTCTTCTGAATCGAGAGCAGCATGGGATGTTTCGTTTATTTCTTCAGAAGCTTTACTTGTTGATGGGACATCTGCATTATTGTTGTTACTTCCTGCATTATTGTTGCTACTTCCTGGATAATTGTTTAACCCTGAGGTCGAAGGTTGATCCGGGTCATCGAATGCGGATAATAAATATGAGGTTTCGTCTTCATAGTCATCGTCTGCATAATAAATTTTATATTCACATATTTATTTTTTGAAATCGCAGGTACACCTTCCACCACCATGGGATTTGGATGGGATTTACATATACATCACAAGGGGGGGGGGGGGGGGGGGGTGTCGGGGTGGAGAGTGAAGCCTATAGGACGGCCCAATCAAATGGCGACTCACAGGCCACAGCCTCTCTTCCAGTTACCAGTCCATCTCGGGTATGGGATTAGTTGGCTAGTTATTTGTTTCAGATGCATGTCTGCAGTGTGGCGCATCATGCTAAGCGTGTGAAATATCCTTATCACCGCACATTTGATTACCTGGCATAGGCTCGTAGGTTCGAATTCCATGGGGATAATTAAGGTGTGAGAGGATTGCTGGACTCTTCGCTGCCACAGGGTAGTTTATGTAACTGCTGGTAAGTTACTGCTCTCTTCACACTGAAGTCTATGAATCTGAAACAAATAACTGGCTAACTAATCCTATACCTGACATGGACTGGAAACCGCCCAAGAGGGCGTGGTCCGCCATATGATAAAGCAGTCTTATAGGCTTTCCTCTCCTCCAGGATAAATATATAAATCCCATATTGAAGGAAGTTGTATCAGCGAAGACTTGTCGGAACCTTTTGAATTTAGTTCGAGTGAAACAACCAATAACAAACCTTCTTCCTCTTCTTCTCCCCAATTAAGGTTCAACGGCACCGAGTGCAGCTGGAGTTTCAAGATATCTTGCTCGATAGATGCCTGCTCGGCTTCTAATGTTGATACGTCCATTTCTACTCAAAAATTCGCTCAATTTTTCTTTTCGATTGGCCAGTTTTTCCATTACATGACAGAACGATTAAACTAAATTTTATTCACATAAATTCAAATTTACCTGTACAGAAAGATTTTCAAACATATTAGAAATTGGATTTTTCATACTTATCTATGGTGAAAGATGGTGCAATTAGCAAGATAGCAAAGCATATTCATGCTACTTTGCTCTATTAAAAAAAAAAAAATTATAATTTATTTATTTTTCATTTTTATTTATTTATCCTTGGTGGAAGTGAAGACAAAAAAGGGTTCAATTAACGATATGGTAGACTATTTTTTATGTATTTGAAAGCAAGATGTTTTCTACAGCTATTTACTTATTTAGCAATATACAATCTAGAATTCCAGACCCAGAGTTTGCTGCATTCAAATATTTGAAATCAACTTCATTTATATATAATATATATGATATGTGGGGTAAATTCTGGTGATTACCATAATTGGACGGGAGAAGTCGTCAGAAGTCTATTACATTTAATTTATCTACATAAATTTTGTTATATTTTGTGTAAGTTGTCCACAGATCCCTTAAAAAGCATTGCCCGATTCGGAATCGTGTTTTTTGTATTCTTGTTTTAATATTTTTTTCGGTGGGCGGGCGCGTACTTTTACGTTTTTTAACTTTATTTTAAGTTATGCTCGCCTTCCAGGTATCCCTGCATTTTGTTTGTTTGTCCAGTTTTTGTGTTGTTTTTGTTTTTATGTCAGAGTACCGAAATAAATGATTGATAGACTATTCATATATGTTTAATTTACTGAATCACCATAATTGTTGGAAAAAGATTTCTTTCTTCTAGGTCAATTTTTCCCATTACAGGGCAAATCAACTTGATCAAGTTTTGTTCACATTCACGCTACTTTTAAAGTATTTTCAAACAATATAGAATCAAGATTTTGAAAATTTGAATTAAATCAATTTTTTTTTATATTCGTAACCAATTGGATGTGTGCATGGATGATACTGATGATAAATATACTGTGATAAAGGAAATTATATTGAATTATGCCAAATGACAATGTATTATGATGGATATAGTTTTTTTTTTACTTGTTATAACACCGTTAGAGGATAGTCTAATAAACTATATTGCTAACTATTTATAAGGTGAATATACTCAGTCACCATAAAAGCTAGGAAATAAATTACACTATTATTTATATGTATCGTAGAATCTGGGTAGTATTGTCTAAACTGGGTAGTTCCACAACAATATGCAGAGGAGGTGCAAACTGTGACTATACAATAAGAGCTTTGATTAAAGTCAGAGGTGAGCAACAGGTGGCCCTTGTCAACATTCAAATTTTCTACCATTGAGCATAAACCTCTAGGCGCAAACGTCGGTAAAAATCCCTGAATTATTACTTATCGATCTTAAGATCGGTAAGTATGTTGATAGGTATTTGTCTGTTTGTTTGTTTGTTAGTCTGTTAGATACACGCGATATCTCAAGTAGGCGAGGTTGAATCTGCTCCAAATTTTGCATGTGCATTTATCATAGTTCCGAACAGAAGCCTATTGATTTTCGATGAATTATGTGGTATAATTAGCGAGGTATTAATTAATTAGTGATGGGACACACGGTGTCACTATGGAGTAAGAGCACTGTTTTGGGGGATCCCCTAACCTCCGATCGATAAGTCTTCGGTCTTCGACCGATATTTTCGTTTTGCTCTTGTCCCTGCATTAAATCTTTCGCATTTTCGCCCGGTGCCTTTATTACTGTAAGACTAAGCGATTTTTCACTGTTTTTCATTTTTCAATTCGTTATGTACATGAACAAACTAAATTTCTTGTGCGGCTCAGCTAGATGTCTGATGTTGGTTATATGGCCCACGGTCTAAATATGTTGCACACCCCTCTGCCCCTGGTCTAACCTAACCATTGAAGATTTGTATTTGAAGCCTAGTCACATTAATACGGTGGTCACATGCTCCAGCATACTTGTATGATAGCGGTCTATTGGAGATTCCACGGAGCTTTTCAAAATAATACAGTACAGCACACTATCTAAATTCCAAGAATTTCCTCCCATTTGGCTCAATAAAACAAACACTCCATTTGTCTCACAAACGAGGGACGTCTGGGACCATGACAGATGCTTCATATCGCACCATGCTTGTCTCAATAATAATCTAAATTAATCGCGGTCGTCACATGACCAAAATTGCCTTTTTTGCTAAAAACTCTCGAATGCTACGATATAAATTTTTTTCCTTCGGTAAACCGGATTATTTTTTCCTAAGGAATTCAATAGTGACGTTACTAGATTGCGCTTTTTTGTAGTATTTTGCGCAACTTCATTATACTGTAATATTACTGATATTGAGGGACAACAGTGTCCAGGCGTCTCCCGAAGGAGGGGTGTCTGATCATATGTAAAATGGGTTTCTCTGAAACGGACAAACATTGCCAAAAATTTTGCAGATTAATCATTGACTGGAATAACTTTTGTTTTGCAATACAAGTTGCAAATTTTATTTTTTTTATTTTTAGCGAGTTGCAAGCTAAAAAACTATGTTTTACGAACATAAATGATACGTAAGCGACGGTGAGGAGTTCAGCAATCCTCATGCATATAAATATCAGGATGCAAGCCTGCAAACCCAAGCAAAGTAATCGAAGGTGCGGAGGCGAGCATATTCCTGTATTCCTAACACTTAGCATGATGTGCCACACTACGGGAGAATACCAATTGATTAAAGATCGGAACGACGGGAGCGATGCAAAAAGAAAAAATGGTTAAAAACGACAAGGTTACCAGTATGAGATTAGGTTAAATCAATCAATCAATTTTATCTGAGGACATAAACCAATAGATCAGACTCTAGTTTTTAGGTAATGCAGTAGTCTACTTCTGTCAGACTGTACCGTACTATGGCTAGTTCTCTGAACCTGGGCAAGATTGCTTATTGCAGCATTGTGATCATGCAGTTTCAGAGTTTACTGGAAGACTGCTGGGAAATGTGAACTCTATCTGCATATCTGTCTATTGCCTATTGGTTCATAACTCTGCAAGAAATGCCTCTAGTTGTGGCAGGCCCGATGGAATCTATGTTATGCGCTTTTATTACACATACAGTACACAATAAACACCGCACTGACAAATAAATGCTTCTGTCATATACGGTACCTAGGCTATAATGTGCTAGTACAGTAGTAGAATATCAGCCACCATAAACGGTAGTTTATTGCTGCTGTAATGTTCAATCATACCACAATCTTTAGGTTATTACAAATTTATGGATATATATAACATTAAGTTATTCGCCGAAAGCCCATCAGATTGATTATCGCTCACCTGGTTTCGGACGGAAATATCAAGACAGGAAATCATGGACAATAGCTACGACGGCCCACAAAAACTTCTGGTCATTAAAGGTTTCACTGTAATGAAGATTAATATAATAAAAAGAAAAATCCAACTGGACAGAGAAGACAGGTATTCGAACAGGTATACTGATAAAAATATTCTAGATCAAACTCTAAAAAAATTGACAGAATTTCTCACCCTACTCGAGACTAAATTCGAAAACCTGGAAATATTTGGTATCAGAAAAAACTGGAAACATATTCTAAATGGATATGTTACAAATTGATGAATCAACTTTGACTATTTTATAAATGACGCCATACCTCCACCTCCCATAAATGGGAGATTAATTCAGATGATACCATCCATAACTTTCTGCGGAAATGATGAATCGGGAGCTTCTCGGTGGATGTCATGCTGTGTACGTGTTACACGCCTCACAGTGTGTACGGAAGCCGGGGGTGGCAGAAGTTGAGCTGTGCTAAGCATGGCATTGACGGATGCCCCGGGCAGACGTCCTGCTATTTGGCACATAGCTTGTACTGATACTCGGGACCGAAGTCTTTGTCTTGCAATACATAGCGATACGGAAGCCGCCTTATGTGTATGACCGCTGCTTACGCAGTGGCATGCTTACGAAGCGTAATACCGATATGACTCGGATATGACGTGTCTTTCAGACACTGATCCGAGGCTGGAAAAACTCTGATCCGTGTAAAAAAATATAAAAAAAAAAAAAAAAAAAAAAAAAAAAAAAAAAAAAAGACGGAAATATCGCACTCATGCTCATCAAACGGATTGCTCTATCTGGCCATCGCTGAGGCATAAGAACGCTAAGAGCTTCGACATTTGTCGCGCAAGGATAAAACGCATGGTGGGCGTCAGAGCGCGAGTGGATTTAGGCGCGAGATTTGTTGAGAGTAAATATTTGTAAATATTGTGTGGCAATGTCCCTAAAATTATGATCATTTTAATGTATACGTTAAAATGTTCGAGAATCATCCATAGATATAGATTTTTGATCTTTAAATTTGGGGTGATGGTTTTGGTTGAATGACTTCACTGCACTTTGACGACATCTGACGGATATTATTTCTTGAAGCAAATAGCGAAACCGCGAATGGCAAATCCGAATGCGTGGTTTTGGCATGTTTTTGATAGTCAAGTCGCAGTTACACTTGAAATTACACAGAGGATAAGCGAAATTGTCTGTAACGCTCATGCCACGTGGCAATGCCATTTGAATGATTTAATGCGACATTTTTGATACATGAAGTTTTTTTGTTCTTCTGGATACTACAGATCGGGTAACATAAAGGCTTTTTCAGTTTCTGATTTCGACTTTTACATTCGAAAGCTTGAAACTCTTTTCATACGTAACGATAATTCGAATATACAACTCCTATACCAATACGAGAATAAAAATTTTCAGTTTACGACTTACGAGTCCGAGGAGTTTCAAAATCCGACTCCTATATAGAAAATTTTTTACTACCCACTCCGGATCATAACAAGTTTCGACTCCAGCTCCGAACTCAGCGTAATCAAACTTCAAATAAATAAACAGTGGCGTTTACAGCCTCATCTAATGAACTGTTAAGGACGCTTAGTAAACCTAATGAAATGCCTATTAAAATTTTTTTTTAACTACCATTAATATATGTATATCATTTGAAGCAGAAGTGCAGTGCAACCTTCCTCACAGGAGGGCCAGATACAAATAATTCTGTAAAACCGCGAGTCCCACCTTTATTTAACCTGGGCTT